CAAATTCTTTATACCATACCTTTGGTCGAGCCACAAATGGAGGGACCATCCCGAAGTGACGGTCAGCTGCTGTTGTAAATAATTGATGATCAGAACGATTTAAAAAATTAAGTACATATAATGCTTTGTCTAACTGTTCCTCTGGGGTAACACTTCCCATAGGATTCCCCCTTTTTTGTTTATTTAGAATAGCTTTGAGGGTCCTGTGGACACGTTTGACAAATTTATAGCCCCCAGATCTTATAATAATCTCCATTTACCAGACTTTTTTGGAATGACAAATATAGGGGTGTTTCATGGACTAGTAGATGGTACTATATGACCTAATACCAGCTGTTCCTGAACTAATTTTTGTGCATATTCCAGCTGTTCTCCCTTTAACGGCCACTGATCAACCCAAACAGGCTTATCTGGCTTATCTGTTAGCCAGGTGAGCTTGAGTCGGGGCTGGACATCAGTGACCCCTTGTGAAAATTTGTCGTTAATGTAACATGCCATTATGATAATAAATCTCGTCCCCAAAGATTGCAAGGCACAGAAGAACATATGGTTTTAATACAGCTTGTTTTTTATCAGGGCCTTCCACTAACAAAGTTTGCGCGCTTTGTAGTGGAATCTGTAATCCTCCGACCCCAGTGGCTGCCGCAGACACTTGTGTTAAAGGCCAGGTCACTGGCCATTCATGTTGATTAAGAATAGGAACGTCGGCGACAGTATCCACCAGTCCTGTAAAAGGTTTACCATTAATCAAGATTGTTAACATGGGCTGCCCTGGTAATACCTTCTGTGTCCAAAAGACAGTTGGTGCTCCTGTACTCCCAAATGCTCCTTCTTGTCTTTGTCTATTGTCTGCTGCAATGGCATAGTACGGTAATAGAATCAACTGTGCAATACGCTCCCCCTTTGGGATAGTACAGGGAGGATTTGGAGTCCAGACCATTATTTTAATTTTCCCATTAAAATCAGAATCAATAACTCCAGGTAGTACGAAAAGTCCCGACTTGGTGGTTGAAGAATGTCCAATTAATAGACCACACACGTTGTGAGGTAGGGGGCCATATACCCCAGTAGATATAAGGTTTACTGATCCATCTGTTATCGTGACTGTTGTTGCTGTGGCTAGATCCAACCCAGCACTGTGGGCTGTGCTGTGTTGGAAGGACTGCAAAGTTTTACGCTGGAATTCACCCTGCTTTGATCCCAGGTCAGATACACCGACTGTTGTAGAGGGACCCTGTTGTACTTTTTCGGGGCACCAGGTCTCGCGCCCCACTTCCCGTTTCCCTGGATCAGATTTCCTTGCTTATCATATTTTGAGTGACACTGATTTCCCAGTGATACCCCCTTTTGCACTTTGGGCGCAGCTGTGTAGGTGGTCGTCGCATATTTTGGTTCTGTTTACTGTTCTGGGGACAATCCCACTTTACATGCCCCTCTTGGTCGCACTGAAAGCATTTAAATGTGGCCCGTGCCACTACCATCTGCTGAGCTAGGGCAGTGGCGAGCATTTCTGCTTTATGTTGTTCCGATCTGACATTTTGACAGGCCCTTACAAGGTCAGCAATCGTTTTTGCTGAATCACGTACAGGATCAATTGCTCTTTTACAGTCTACATTTGCATTTTCAATTGCAAGCTAAAACAGCAAAACGTCAGCGACTTCCTCCTGTTCAACTTGCCTCATAATAGCAGTGTGTAGCTGATCTAAAAACTGAACATAGGGTTCCCGAGATCCCTGTCGAATTGACACGAAAGACATTTCTTGCCGGCCAAGATCTGGCACCTTTCGCAAGGCCTTGAGAGTTAAATCCACGGCTTGCAAAAATACCAGTCTTGGCAGTGTCGCTTGTGCTACACCTGTGGCATAATTTTCTTGACCCAGCAACTCGTTTTCTCCAATAGTTAATCCAGCAGAAATATTCTCCATAACTTGCACAATTACAAGTTCCTTATATTCTGATGCCCAGATGGTATATTGTGCAGATGATAGAACTATTCTAAGTATCGATTGCCAATCAGAAGGGGTCATGACAGAAGATTCTCCTATAGCCTGTATAAGGTTCATAGTAAACGAAGCCTGGAGACCATATTCTCGTATGGATTTCCGAACTTCCTTAATAACTTCGTATGGTAATTAAGCATACTCTGGGGCTTGGTTAGGTTTATATTCTACAAGCATAGGTGGAAGGATAGAAACATCTCCTTTGCAGAGCGCTTCAATCCTACATTTATCTAGCAATACGTTCGACCGTCTGACAACATTCAGTGATCCCGTACCAGTCAGAGCCTGTGTAGGAGCCAAAGGGGGGGGATGTAGGAGCAGAAGAGAGTGGTTTAGGAGCAAAAGGGGGGGGTTTAATAAGTGGCATCAGCCATATTGAATTTTGTCGTGACTCCCCCGCATGCCCTGTGTTGAGTTAAGGGTTTCATCGTTCGTAGGACTAAATGTTTCAGAAGGCTGCAGCTCAGTCTGTTCCTGCTTTTGCAAGAACGAAGGAGGGGGTGGCGGACGCTTGTAAGATAGTTTCTGCGGGTTTTAGAGCATTTAAAGCTGTATACGCTGTTTTCCAAGTAATAATGATTTCATCAGGGACTTCAAGATGCAAGTCCTTTTTTGTCTGCAATTCCTCCCCCACCTTTGCCCACAACGAGCTATCATATGAACCTGAGGAAGAGTACCACGAGCAATAGTCTCTTATCCAAACTAACAATTTAACCAGCTTTGTAACTGATACCACAAACCCTTGTTCTCTGAAAATTCTCTGTAAAATCTCTTGAAGGAGCTTTTGCTCCTTTGTAGCTGACTGTCCCATCTTATAAATCCGCAGCGGCTCACCTCAGTCGTTCCAGCGAAGGATGATGTCTCCCCTTGTGTGTGCGCACGCATGCATATGTCTCTCCTCTTGGTCCCAGCTGCGGTTCACCACTGGTAACGATCTCCAAGTCTGAATATGTTCATGTCCAAATATCTTTATATCCAAATATCTTTATGTCTGAATATCTTCATGTTCGAAAACCCGCGTTCGGGCACCATCTGTAGTGAATGACTTCACGGACCCCAATCTTGTGCTTGATCAGAATCCTTTTATTGCTCAAGTGAATACCTTATATACTAATACAATAGTTACTAGAGCCAATCAGCTTTGGATTCGTGGCTTTGCGAATGCTAGTTCACAGTTGCTGTTTTCCAGGATCTTTTGCAGCTGGACGTGTGAAAACAGCTTATCTCCTGAGAACAGAGAAGGGAGGCGCAGGACGCGCTGATCCTTCAGGGTCATGAGACAGTGCTGTTCTATCTCAAATTATATGGTTTCCCACATCCCCTCTCCTGAATATTAGTTTTCTAGACTCTCCAGGGCTGGGCAATGTTATATCTATGTCTTTCTACAGGGTGTATTTGTGCTCACCACTACAGGTCCTCCATCTCTGCTGAGACCTCAGTCAACAGGCTGCTGTCATGTAAAACTTAACTGTCCTTGCCAACTCATCTGTCTTAAGGCAACTTTGGGAAAGTAACTCCTATTTGCATATGCTTCATTAGTGATGTTCAGAGCATTAAGGCAGCCAGATTTTTCCTCATGGGAGCTACTTAACAGAAGAGCAAACATTTTCTACAAAGAAATACTACAGGTGACAAATATTTACACCTCAGATTCATTAAGTGCACTTGCTCTATTTATTTCTGGAGGGTGGGCTTGTCAGAGAACAATCAGTAGCCTTCGCATCAAGAGCGGTAACACAAGCAGGTGGCTATCCAGAAATAATTACAGAGGATAACGGAGGTCCAATCATGGGTTTTCTTTAATTTGTGTAATGCATAAAAACAGACACAGAAAGGGATACAGCAAAATCAGATGACACAATGTAATTTAAAAATATGATACATTTTTCTACGACATTGTCCTTAGCTGTGACTAATCTATCCCAGCATCACACACCCAGGCATCAGGGACACACTGCCCTGGACACTGTTCTGCTGTTTGTCAGTGGGACCCTGGAAAAATTCCTATATTGCCAT